TAATTTTTAAAAAGTAAGGTAGATATACAGTCATTCTTATTTTTAATAGGTCAATTTATTAGCTATAGAGAAAATTATATTTTTTAAATAAATAAGCCCATGAAATGAATATGCGTTTTTGACTCCATAACTTTGATTGTGAGAAAAACAAAATTTATGAAGGAATATATCTGCAAATCAAATCGAACCAAATCAAACCAAAATCCAGTCACTTTCAATGAGATTCTTCAACTTCTAGGGATACAAAATGTAAAAGTCAAAATCACATTGACAGAAGTTCTGAAATTTAGGATTTTGCTAATGCCCAGAAAAAGTGGAACCCACAGAACCACCCAAACAGCCATACAGCTTCATGAATAAATCCCCAAACATGGGAATTCAAAGAGGGGGAAAAAAAAAATCTTTTGATTCATTTTCATTTCCACCAAGAGTTTGTTTCTTTAATGTGGAATTGGTACTGTTTTTCCCTTTTCAAATTCATATTCCCATTCCACAGTTAAATGGGGAAGTCAAAGCATTCAATTGGAAAGTATACATTATTCCCTCTGACCCAAAAATTAATCCTAATGAAGGGAAGAAGGACTTGCCTGATTCAATTGCAGATTCCGGCGAAAATCCAGGACCGGAAACTTTCCGAGAAGCCTGTGAATGAATTTTCCTTCAGATTTTGCTCTCATTGATTCCTCATTGCGGCAGTGCTCATTATCTTTGGGGTCCAAAAGCTCAACAATTTCTTCACGAGATTCAGCATCACTTCCACCGGAAGTGCACATATCTATATCGGCGGCAATAGGCGTGAAGAGATTGCAATTCACCAAACGGAAAACCTATAAGAGCAGCAGATTGTATGACACATTAAACAGAGAAATGTGAAGATAGATAGTTTTATGGGAAAAGATTAAAACCCGTATATCAGAGTCTGCTACAGAGTAATTGCACAAAGGGAGTAATGTTAGCAATGCTTTGTGCGGAGGAGTCTTGTAATTATGTATGCGCGACAAAATCCTTTGAACCTGTATTAATATGCCCAGAGAGGGAGTAATGTTATGCATGCCTCTTTTACTGTCTGACACACATGCAAGTTAGCTTCACCATATGACCGCTTGAAAAAAAAAAAAAAACCTCAAAGAGTCAATAATTTAGATGATAAAAGAGTTTACTCTTAACTCTAATGAAGTGATTCAAAAGTTAGGAGCTTGATACTCAAAGTTGAAAATTTCAAGTTCGAACTCAAAGTTGAAAATTTCAAGTTCAAATCTTGAGTCAAGTAAAAAAGGATTTGAAATAGGGGAGGGGTATTTTTTTTTTATACAGTCTATAATTAGATGTACCAAAGAGAAGAGTTTACCCTTTATCTTGTTAACTAAAATTTAATTTTCTCTAGAGTTTAGTAAATGGGTAGTTGCTCATAGATTCCTAGCAAGTCCCCACTCTTCACATAAATGGCCTGCTTTTGATCTTATTGAGGAGGGATTAATCTTGAATACATAAAAGTTGGCCTACAAAACATCATAATTGATTAAGAAAAGTGTGTCATGCAGTGTTTGTAAATCAAAGTGTGTACTAATCACTATTCTTAGAAAAGTATTGTTAAAGAGAGGAGAAAAATCCCGAGTGATTATTGAAACTAAAAGCATGACATTACTTGCCTTGGGGAAACTTTCCTCTTACATTTAAAAAATTTTTCACATTCACAAAGCTATTTATGTATTTTTATACAATATTACTTAAATAAAAGCAGAGTAAAAGTGATATTTATGGTATTTACTTTCTCTAACAAAATTCTCAATTAATAAACTTTTCTTCTTACACTTTTTGAAGGAAAAAAAAAGTTTCCACCAACTTTTTGTATGATCTACTTGAGAACTTTCCTTATATCAATTTTTTATCAAACAAGAAAAAAGATAACAACCTAACAAAACTTCACTACAAACTTATCTTTTTGTGCATTTATTTATTAACTTTTTATATAGTATTTTTCTACCCACTTTCCCAATAAAAACTTTCCTAATAAAATTTTTCTCTAACTACCTAAAGAGATCCTTAATATATATAAGTCAATAAAATAGGACCACTCTACATTGATCACCGGAGGTTGTGGTGAAGTATATAATTTTGGATGCCCTTTTGTCTCAATTAATATTGGGATGTAATTGTTACATTTTTTCCCTTCAAGTTATTGTTTATTTATACTGAAAATTAGGTATTTTTAGTTTCAACTAGACAAGTAGAGAAAGTAAAACCTGTTGATGATGATTGCCCGTATAGGCATATATACTGAAAATTAGGTCTTCTGGATTTCTATTTGCAACGAGGAAGAAAGCAATTCCTTTTGCCAAATAGAATAGTTAACCCCACTGGGTTTGTATCCTTTTTTATTCTGATTTATTTTCTTCAATCTTAGTAGTAATATTAGGTTTTCTTTTAAGCATTAATTTAAGAATATGATAGTTAAAACTACTTTTTAGGACCAAAATTTATGACCAATTTATTATAACTATATATTGGTCATTATGCGGGTCTTATAAAGGTCCACATATATGATCATTGGTTAAAAAAATTTCATTCTAAAATTTAGTCCAAGAGTCATTACTATTAATTTAATTGTAATTAACTTCAACATTAAGGTAATTTTATTAAAAATAAGATATTGCTATTTTATAGTTTACCTTGTGTAGATTGCACATTTTTAGTCATTGATGAAGATGGACTACGTATACCCCAAAAATCAGAGGATCCGATCCACCCCTCATCAAAGGCTATAATATATACAGTCTGCTCACATCACATGCATTTGTGTTAAAATAACATTGCCTCCATAGCTATTTGTGTCCCTAAACTTTTAATTTTGAACATTTTAGTTCCTAAACTTTTTTTTCTGTACTTTTTCACCCTTGAAATATGAAAAATACACTATTTTTACTCTTATATCAGTTAATCTATTAAATCTATCCATATATATATACATTTTTAATTTCTAGATAAAAAAGTGCAAAAAATAATTCAAAGACTAAAAATGTTTAGAATTGAAAAAGTTTAGGGACTAAAAAATTAACATTTAACCTTCCCTTGTTCGCCACCTAAGGATGTTCACATTTAGATGTCCTGCCATTTGCTTTTACAAATACGTACATTAAATGCTTTGTTCTAATTTTACCCCTATTAAATGCCTTTAATAAATTCTTATTACACCCTTTTCAGGTGAAAATAAAATTTAAAGATATAATAATTGTGTTCCTCAATTAAACTTTTTTTTCCTTTTACAATGCTGCACCAAAAAAAAAAAAAAAAAAAAAAAAAAAAGAACAACTGAAAATGGGCGGAGGCGCCGAGATAGTAGAAAGAAATACTAGTAGCCATATGTGCTCAGAATTTTTGAAGCTAAAAATGGCTTTTACTCGTTTGGAAAGAGGGGCACCCTCATATGTATGTTACACCCCGGTTAAATTTTAATAAATTTAATTTTTTTCATTTAATAAAATAAAAATATAATAATTAAGTAGTAATAAAATTTTATATTTAAAAATTTATTTACATACAAGTCTTATACATCACACTTATACAAAATCTTAATCATTTATCTCTTCACTTTCAATAATTGAGATTTGTTATGACTTTTTAGGTAAAAAAATATAATTATTTTTAATAAATGTGAATAAATCTTAACTATTAAAAATAGAGAGATAAATAGTTAAAATTTTATATATGTATAGTGAGTAAAACTTGTATGTAAATATATTCTTACTCTTATTTTTAATTAATTATTACTTAAATAAGTCTTTTTATTTAATTTATATTGTAATAATTTTTAATATAAAAAATATAAATACATACATTAAATAAACTTCTTAAAAATAAAAAGTAAACCACTAAAATTAAACATTCTAAATTAAA